GTTTGCCTTTTCTGTTAACTTAAAACAAAGCTTTGATGTTCTAGTGAAGCATTTGTGACAAAAATTCAACTATTTACATGGATGGAACACGACTTGGAAAATTTACCGAGCCACCACTTTTTTCTATTCCACAAAGTAATTTTAGAAAGCAACATAATGTCTACTTTCACTGGCAGAGGCCTGTGTAATGATTTCTGAAGCTTTACAATTCAGATAGAAAACAATTCACAGCGTGTAGCAGAGAAACTTTTGTACTATTACCCAGAAACACTAGTTACCAAGTTTGCTTCATTGTTACCTTTTACTCAAGTTCTGTAGCAGTTTTTGTGTTAACCAGGCCAAACTATTTGAATTTATAATATGATCTCAGTAATGTGAAGGGAAAAATAAAACATTTACGAGAATGAACTGCAACTTTATTACCTAATTTCTCACCTCTCATGCTTAATCAAATGGGGACGGGGAGAATGAGAAGAACACTCAACTTGAAGCCCTGTGTGCTGGAACTGGCTAGTCCATATTCATGAGTGCCAATTCTGTACACCTTTCCAACTCTGTTCAGTGAAAGTAGGTAGCTTAAAATCAGCCACGGCTAGAGTATCTAAACCACTAAAATTGGGAAAAGCTACAAAACAGAGAGCATTTTCTTCTTTTTCCAGAGAGCTAGTCTACCAACACAACATTGAGCAACATAACCTAACAGAATAATCTTTCAAACAGGCGGCCACAGAAACAAAAAGAAGAGTCGAATGATGAAGTAGAAATCCGTAACACATTAGACTCCTAAAACTAACTTTATTCATCAGGAAACATGCAACCCACTTACGAAAAAAGTTACAATGGAGAACAAAACTCTGCAGTTCTTTAAATATTTTTTTATCTGATCATAAGCCAATGTCCCAAGAAAGGCCAGTGAAACACAAAAAATAAGCCTCTCAACTATAGTAGGCAAAAAATAAAAGTGAAGAAAGCACTGGTCTCAGAAGCAGAAGGAAAATGAAGCCATCCACATCGTATACAGCACAGCAAAGAAGAAAACAACAGCTGGGCAGAAAAGAGCCACCAACCATGAACATGACATTGTACAAACATAGAAAGGCAAAACAATGAAAAACAAAGACAAGTGGTGGGGGAAAAAAACTAAAGAGAAAACACCTTGGGGTAAAAATGGCAAAGACATCATCAAATAAAATACATGCTCCTTGTCAGGATACCGATCGGAAAAGGAAAAAAAAAACAAAACAAAAATATACATACATTTTGGAAACAACATTTAGAGCCTTTGGCAAACTAGAATAGCTATCAGATATCATCAAGGAACTCTTTAGTATATTAATTTAGTATACTAATTTCTTTAGTATAGCAAGATTGTGGCTCAAGGATAGATGAATGTTTTAGAGAATCATGTTGAATATTTAAAGGTAAAGTGGTATGCTATAAAAACACTGAAGTGATTCAGGATAAAAAGGAGATAAAGATTGTTGAATTAGTTTCCACTTCTGGCCATGATGCAGTAAATGAGAATTAATGTAGTCTACCACCATAAACAACTAGAAAACTGGACAAATTATCTGAGAAGAAAAATGAAGTGAGATTCGTGATTGGCAAGAAGCAATTTCCAGGGAAAACTGCGAAGACGAAACCTAAGCAACCCTGACAATCTTCACTTAAGCAGTTGGAGGAGGTCACGGTTTTCAATGTTTGGGGAACAAAGTACCATGGAGGAGGAAGAGGAATAGAGCTAGCTGTCCAGAGACCTAAAAAGAGGTCTGACCTCTTAGTGCTGATAAAAGAAATGTTTAAGAGAATAAACTAACCCAGGTCAGAAATTTTAACCTCTGGAAAAAAGTATGCAGACCAGCCCACAGAGCCCCTACATGTAGAAGTAGGAATTTTCCCTGTCCTCACTGACCAGAGCAGGACTGAGCTACAGCACCAGGACGCAGCTCTGCAGAAATGATCACCTTATTCATGGGGTAAAGTCGGCCCTGGGTTGAAGGCTGTTCTGGCCCTACCATAACAAGCTTAAAAGCAACCAACTCCAAGTCGCTTAAAGTACACCAGAACCAAACTCAATGCCATCAAGCTGATGCCAACTCATAGCAACCCCATAGGACAGGGTAGAACTGTCCCTGTGAGTTCCCAAGTCTGTTAACTCTTCATGGGAGTTGAAAGCCCTGGCTGTCTCCCCACAGAGGCTGGTGCTTTTGAACTGCTGACCTTGCGGATTGCAACCCAACGCTTATGGGTTCCTTTTTCTTTTTTTTTTAAATTTTTTTAATCATTTTATTAGGGGCTCATACGACTCTTATCACAATCCATTCATACATCGGTTGTGTAAAGCACATTTTATTTCTTAAAAGATCATTTTATTGGGAACTCTTACAACACATGTTACAATCCATACATCAAATGCATCAGGCATGTTTGTACATACGATGCCTTCATTCATTTCTAGACATTTACTTTCTATTGAGCCCTTTTTATCAGCTCATTTTCCCCTCCCCCTGACCCTCATACCCCCTTGGTAGATAATGAATTATTATTATTTTCATATCTTACACCGACCACTGTCTCCCTCCCCCCGTGTTTTTGCTGTTCCTCCCCCTAAAGTGGGGTGTATGGTTATGT